CAGCATCATGGAAATAGTTCAGGGTGTTCCTCAAATGTTTATCCAGTCCATGCAGATCAGGTATGCAGCACTGCTTTTACCAGCTCACATTTGCTGATTATAGCACTCATGTTCATTAATGTTTGAGCTCTTCTGATATCTGGATGATGTGCTGTTAATGCTGTGCATTCATCTTTTGTTTTAAATTGTTCAAATAGTTTCATAGAGAGGACATGGAAGATTGAGTGTGGTGTGGGAATGATGGACCCCTGTTTGAACCCAGAGCTCATGCAAAATTTCCCAGTCACCTCTTCAGTGACGTTTACTGACCTTTCTCTTTATTCACAACCACCTAGATCCAGGTGGGTCATAATTGCACTCGAATGATTGAGTTTGATGCTATTGTGTGTATATAATTACATTTTAGATTTCTGTATTAACTTTGATAAATATACATTTTAAAAAATGTTTAATTTAAAAAATTTACAATTTTTTTTTACTGTTTAGTTTGCTTTAGAATAGATCAAAATAATAAATAATTAAATAAATAAATAAACAAATAAATAAATAATATTTTGATTGAATAAAATTTATACACAATAATTAATTAATAGTTGGTTTATTTTAATATAAATATAATATAGAGAATTGGAATTAGAATTAATATTGTTTGTGAAAAATATGGACAAAAAAACTCTAAAACTTGGCATAATATAAGAAAAAGTTCTATATTATGCCACATTTTAGAGCTTTTTTGTCCATTTTTTACATACAATATTTACAATAACATATAGTACATAACAAGTTATTTTTTAAATATAACTAAAATAAATTCTTAACAATTATAATGCATATATTTTCAACATTATGAGAATAGTACAGATACACTGTCTTTTGTTTATTTAAAAAAGTTTCTAAATGTATTTAAATATTGTGTTTGTTTTAAATAAAGTACAATAATTGTTTATTTATTTGAAATAAAAAGATAAAATATCATATTGTAGTTTTTCTTATCTTATGCTTTGCATCTTAGAGCTCTATTTTCTTAATTAAAGTGAAATTTAAATATAAGTTAAATTAATTTTAGAAAATTATAATGCCAATTTTTTCAATATTATGAAAACAGTACAGATACAGCTCATCTTTTCGTCATTAAAAAAGTTTCTAAATGTATTTAAATATTTGTTATCTGATTAAAAATAAGTAACAATAGTTATTTATGACATATATTTTATGATATATTTAAATACAAGATGATAAAATATTAAATTGTATTTTTTCTTGCCATGTATTTTAGAGCTTCATTGTCTATTTTATTTCTTGATTAAAATAAAATAACAATAGTTATTTTTTAAATATAAATAAAAATATAATAATGCAAATATTTTAATATTATGAGAACTATACAGATATCAGAAAAGTTTCTAAATGTATTTAAATATTTGTTTATTTGTTTTAAACAAAAAAATATATATTGCAGTTTTTCTTACATTATGCCATGCTTTTTAGAGCTCTGTTTTATTTCTTGATTAAATAAAAATAACAATATATTTTTTAAAAATATAAATAAAAACAACTCTCAAATTATAATGCTAAATTATAATGTTTTGCCTATTTTTTCCTGATTTTTAATATAATAACTATAGTTCTAGACAATTTTAATGCAAACATTTTCAATATTTTGATATCAATATAGATACAGTGTATCTTTTGTTAATTTAGAAAAGTTTCTAAAGGTATTCAAATGTTTGTTTTCGGCTCCATTATTAATTATCATTATCATTATTAACTTGATAATTTTCACTTGTTTTAAATAAAAAAGATAAAATATTATATTGTAGTTTTTCTTATATAAATTCTTTTTAGAGCTTCTTTATCTTCTTTATATTTTCTGATTAAAATAAAATATCAATAGATACTATTAATAGTTATTAACAGTAAATGTTTTCAGTCTTCATTTAGAAATGTAAATAAAATAAATAATGATTTGTTTTAAATAAAAGATATCAAATATTAAATTGCTTTTTATATTATATTATGCCATGTATTTTAGATCTTCTTTGTCAATTTTATTTCCTGCTTAAAATAAAGTAACAATAGTTATTTTTTAAATAAAAGTGAAATTAATTCTAGAAATTCAGTATTATGAGAACAGTACAGATACAGGTACAGATACAGTGGGTCATTTAGAAAAATGTATTTAAATATTTGTTTTCTGCTTAAAATAAAATACAATAATTATCCATTTGTCTTAAATAAAAAAGATAAAATATTTATATTGCAGTTCTCTTATATTATGTCTTGTATTTTAGAGCTCTATTTCATTTCAAGTATTTGCTTGCGTATGGCATTATTTCCAGCAGCTTGATGACCCTCAGTGTAATTGAAGTCTGTTCTTTTGCAGGTTCAGCATTAACTTCACAGAGTTTGACTGTGACAGGAATGATGTTTGCTGGCCTGAACTGGCCTTTCCTTTCACAACATACTACACTGGTGAGGCTTCCGTTTCTTGTGTTAAATACAGACAGAGTCCGAAATAACCCTCAAAACTCTGAAACCAGCACTTTGTGTAGTATATAATTTTGGTTTTACTCAGTTGGTATAGCTAGCGTATTGCTGTTGTTTTGGTTTATTTGGGAAGTTTATGTGAAACATAAAGCACCAGCAACAGCAGACACACGACATACCTTCACTTAAAACAATTTTAACCAACATTTAAAATATGGGGCATGAACTCATATTTGGAAACAACATAACATTTTTTTTAAATGTGATGTCTTTTTTATGATTTGATTAACTTTTTATGAATTTTCTTATTTGCAAATAATACAGATGAATATCAAGTACAGAACATTAAAGTCCACATGAACCAGAAGCTACGACCGTTTTTTTGGGGGGGGTTTTTCTCGTATTGTGACGCAGTTCCTAGAGAAACGGAACATTACATGAGCAAACAGTGGGCGTGGCTTGTTATTTATACTGCGAGCTGATTGGATGTAGTAAAGTAGGCATTTCATTCAGAAAGATCGGAAAATGGGGTTCTGGAGAGTAATTACAGACTACTCCGCCTCACTATTCTGGTTGTTGTCAAAACTGACAGTTGGAGGGGTGTGGTTAAGTATGTTAGCCACACCCAATACCTCAGACAGACTTAATCTGAGAATTTAACTGAAAACAAACAGGAAGTGGATCTTCAGATTTTAATATCAGATTACAAGGACAAACTATTTTTTCTTAAAGAGATGCACAGATGAATTGTTCACCACAAAACTAGCAATGTGAGCTAACAAAATCAATATGGTTAGTTTTATTATCAATATGGTTAGATTTCATGTGTACTTTAACATATAAACAAAATGTTAAAAGGAAAAGAATATTGTCACATAAATGTATATATGCTTATTACATAATAAATGTAAATGATGTTAAGTAGTAAATAAATTAAGAAAACACTATTTATATATTAATATACTTATACAAATAATTATTATTGTCAACATATAACTATGCAAAATATATAGTAACTTTTTAAGAGTTTTTGATGTACAAAATCAAATGACGAGCCCCCACTTAATGTTACTACCCTGGTCTAGGGTCAAGGCTGCAACATAAAAGATCACCAGACAAATAAAATTCACTTTCATGACCCTTTGGAGTCCCCTCTTGGGGCCCTTTGTTGATGGTCCAATAACATCACCACATTGAAATGGACTATATGATAATCATCCTCATTTCTCTGGCATTTACATTAACTCATAATCAATCTAAATGGTTTATGAAGACTTTTGGGTTCTGTTTTGTGTGACAAAAGAAACACTTCATGTATTTTGGATGATTTTTTTTATTATTGTGAACTGCTCTTTCTGACAGGCGAGCCTTATTCTGAGGCTCTGGCTAAAGGTCTGACTCTTGTATTCTTCTTCATCGCGGCGTCCGTTTTGGGAACCCCGTGGAGGCAAATCCGACAGGCCTGGAGGAATGCTTGATCAGGACAGAGAAAACTGAGCTGTAAATAACTGTGAACATACAATTATTTATTTTTCTTTTCTAGTTTGTACATTTTCCTACATTATTTATAAAGTTTTGTCGATTGAACTATGCTTTTTAAATGAAATTGTGAATACAAAATAAAAATACATGTTTTATATGTAAAATATCCTTCTGTGTGTGTGTGTTTGTGTGTTTGTGTTTGTGTTTGTGTGTGTGTGTGTGTGTGTGTGTGTGTGTGTGTGTGTGTGTGTGTGTGTGTGTGTGTGTGTAACAGAGGCTGAGATGTCATGGATAAAATTCAAGTATTCTATAGTCGAAGTAATTCATGTATTTATTAGTATAAGTTACAATATTAATTGCATTTTTATTATCAAAGGAAAAATTGTAATACGTTTTCTGGTTTGTAAAACGTAATGCATTACAAATTATCTTTTGCGAAATGTAGCTAACAAGGTATCTAACAAACTCACAATAATAATAATAATAATGAATAATAACTACTAAAAGTAATGACATTTATTATTATATTAAACATTATTATAAACACATGCACCAATAATATCTTTTTAATACTTATAATTTTTGTATTATTATATATAACTTATTTTTCATTATAATTCTTTTCTGCTAGAATGTATATGTAAAAAAATTGCATATCAATTTAGCAAAAATATTAACTAATAATAACAACAATTGGTGTTATAGTCAATAATTATTACTATCATAAAATGACTATTATCTATTAAATATACTATTAATATTATAGTTGTTATATAAGTTTATTTATATAATATAATAAAAATAGAATGATTCATATAGATATATATATATATATATATATATATATATATATATATATATATATATATATATATATATATATATAAATGCATCATATTTAATATTATTATTAATATTACTACCAATAAGTATTTCATTATTATTTTTACATGTATTTATTAATATTAATTAAATATTTTACATAATTTGAGAGCATGCTCCGCAGCGCCCCCAGCGGCGGAGATAAATCGCAACTGGTGGGCGGGGCTTAAAACATCACCGCAGAGTCTGTCATTCAGTCTCTGCTGATTTGAGACACTTATTTCTGCTGCACTCGTGGCGACATGAGCGGAAGGGTTGGAGATCTGAGCGTGAAGCAAGCCGAAGCTTTGGCCCAGGTAAATCTTATTTTCTCATTTATATCAGCAGTAAGGCTATGTTGTGGATGTTGTGGAGACTCGTGTCCTGAAGAGGACGGGATGAAATATTGTCCCGAGCCAAGACTGAGGCCACAAACCGCAGATTCAGTGCAGAATAAAACCCTCAGCTGTATTTAATTAGTGTATTTAGATTTGCAGCTTAATCACACAGTTTTAGACTTGTGTCAATTCCGTAACAGTAAGCGCTCACGTTTCCATTGCTGTCTGTCATAGATGTTGAGGGATGTGCTAGTTGGTGATAGCTGTTTGCGTTATAAAAGTTTACAACATCACTTTAACGAATGCATTTCATAATTCTGCTTTTGTACATGTCAGTTTCGGGAAAAAGTTCAGGATGTCCTGCCTCAGTGTCCTTCCCAGAGTGACCACTTTCTGCTCAGATGGCTGAGAGGTGAGAAACATTCCCTCATATGTATGAAGCAAACCATTGTTAGGGTAACTATTAATAATGTAATGCTGAAGTAATACTGTTACGTACATATAACTGTATTTTACTGACAGAATAGTGGACTAAAATGCACAGTGATAATAGTTTTACGTTTATTCATATTGTTGGGGAAAGTTACTTTAGAAAGTAATGCATTACAATACTGTGTTACACCCCAGAAAATTAACTAGTTGCGCTACTTAGTTACTTTTGACCGTAAATCTGTTCAAAGGGATGGTATTTTTTTCTGAAAAGTAAACCTTTTTTGCTGTTATTCACCTTGTTTTTTATTTAATTATGCATTTTAGTGACATTTAAGAGCTAATCTTTGCTGGATCAGCTTGTCGGATGGTGATCATAACCACACTTTTTTACTATGAAGTATTAATTTACTAACTTGCTTTTAAACTGTAAGTTAATCCAGATTTATAAATAAATTGCTATGGTATTAGCATCTAAAAAATATATTTAGAAAAATGAAAAAAAAAAATACTTTTAAATACAAATTAATCATCATCCATCATTCAAAACAAAATATGAATCTGGTAAAACTTGTTTTAAAATAAAAAAACTGTAGCCGGCTCATTCAGCTTTCCTCCGTCAAAATTTGGCCACTTCATTAAAATTACAATTGAAGATTAAATTTATCTTAAAGCTTTCTTCTGTCTATAGTTTTCACAATTTATGATGGCATAGCAGTCAAAAATAGCATAAATGAGATCAAATAGGGGTCAAATTTTGGACTTTTTCAGTGGGGGGTTAGTCATTCTAACCCCCGACCCCCCCCTGGCATGAGCTTGTAGGTAATGCGTTATGTTAACTTGCAGAATATTTCTGAGAAATGTAAGGCTCTGCCATCTTCATTTCTGTCTGTTCCTGCATTCGCTTATTGAGTGCGGGATTCAACATGACCGTGATAATTTTAATTCAGCAATTTATTTAAAGTGAATCAACTAAACTAAAAAGTAACTTTTTTTAAAAAGTAACTTAAATAATATTTCTTAATTTTGAAAAGTAATGCTTTAAAGTTACTTTATTACTTAAAAGTTATATTATATTGTTACTCGTGTTACTTGTAATGCATTACCCCAACACTGTTAAAACATTTACGCTTGCATAGAGAGAATGTTTTTAAGTTTGTACTCAGTGTTGAGGAAAGTTACTTTAAAAAGTAATGCATTACAATATCGAGTTACTCCCCCAAAAAGTAACTAGTTGCACTACTTAGTTACATTTTATAGTAACTAATGCGTTACATTACTTTTGAGTTAATTTTTTTCAAACCTGGCTGGGGCTTGATCTCTTTCAGAACTTGCAGGGTTATTTTTATTTATTTATTTTTCTTCATGTAGAGGAGCTCTGCAATTAACAACACACTGTATGACCTTCATTTACCTTTAAGAAAACACATAAAAATGAATGTTATCGTCGGAGAACTTCCTGACCCCAGAGCTCTACAGGCTGTATATAGAGATTAATGAAAGTTTAAAGCAATGCGTTTGCTACTTTTGTACCTTTTTGTAAAATCACTGTCCATTCAGATCATCCTCTTTTCCTTTTATTCAATGCTTTAAATATAAAGAGAACATTTCTATCGCAGAAATGTAAGACTCTGCAGTCTTTATTTCTGCCTGTTCCTGCATTCTACGATCTTTGATCATTTTAATTCAGCCATTTATTAAAAGCAAATTAACTAAACTAAAAACTCGCATTACATTTTTTAAAGAGTAACTCAAATATCATTAATTTTGAAAAGTAATGCGTTACTTGTTATTTAGAAAAGTAATATTATTACATAACTCTTTTTTTTGTGCATATTACAACCATAATACAAATAGTCTTTTAGAATAGCGCAATTTGTATATAGAATCTTGTAGAAAGATGATGTTAAATTATTATATTCATACACAACTATTAAATGATATTTTAAACTGAAACCACATATATAATAGAATTGTCTTCATCTACATATATGACAGACAGACAGACAGACAGATAGACAGACAGATAGACGGACGGATGGATAGATAGAACAGAACAAAATGCAGTGGAATGATCATAACTACAATATAGAATCGTGTAGAACTCTTTAATACAGTGGTACTCAAACTTTTTTCATCAAGTATCACCTCAGAAAAAAATTCTCTCTCCAAGTACCACCAAAATGAGCAGTATTGAAATTCAGTAATGTAGTAGGCCCAGTAAAGCAGCTACAACTCTGCACAGTAAAAAGAAATGTGGCAGATTACCCCAGAAATATAGGCTATATGGCATACTATATACATCATTTTTGATAAATTTTGAAATGTGTGTAGCATGTACATGACATATTTCATTCCTCCACGTACCACTAGAAGGAAGCCCGCGTACCACTAGTGGTACACGTACCACAGTTTGAGAACCACTGCTTTAATATATAGAATTTAGAATGTAATGGAACATCTTTTTTTAAATAATAATAATAATAGAATCATAGCTTTTCTGAGACATTGGTGATATGATTATTGGACACTGGTGATGAGAGAGACTATATGTCCTGTCCTGACTCATGTTCAGACAGTATGAATCAGTGTAATCGGATTAAAACTGTGGAGTCAGGAATGTAGCGGATGAGTTTAGATACTTAAAGAAACTTGCACTACATGATTGAATAGGCCTTGCTGTATTGAAGTGTATTTGTATTTATTTATTTATTTATTTGTATGTATATGTGTATTTCTTCATAAACAAAGAAAGACACGTCTGAACAATTAAATAGTCCAGTCTAAATTTAAAGGTACAGTTCCTCAAATGATTGTGTGAATGGTCACTTTAAGGATTTCAGTATTTAAGGGTGTGTTGTGTTCACACTTCAGTTGTTGTTGTTTTTTTTTTTTTTGGACATTACCAAAAAGGAGAACATGATAGTTTTGGTCCTGCATCATGCAGTGTTCATTTTTATGACCACCTATAGATACAAAACAATAAATTTTATGTTTATTTACTATGTATATAATGTATATTAACAAACTTTATGAACATTTAAAAACAATCCCATGCTATCTGTTATAAGCGTGCTAATAAATTTAGATCTTATGACTAGCCTTATGTTGCACAGGTATAAGCTGCAACCCATCCCTGGGAAACATCCACACACACATTCACACACTACGGACAATTTAGCCTACCCAATTCACCTGTACTGCTTGTCTTTGGACTGTGGGGGAAACCATAGCACTCGGAGGAAACCCACGCGAACGCAGGGAGAACATGCAAACTCCAAACAGAAACGCCAACTGAGCGTAATTGATTGTATGGGTCAAAAATAATAAATTTTTCTTTTGTGCCAAATATTGTTAGAATATTAAGCAAAGATCACATTCAATGAAGACATTTTATTAATTTAATACTGTAAATATATTAAAACTTTGATTAGTAATATGCATTGCTAATAAATTTTCTCAGTATTTACATTTATTCAGAATCCAGATTGTATCTTAGTCAAATGTTGTTTTATCATAACAAAGCATACATCAATGGAAAGCTTATTTGTTCAGATATTTTCCAAGATGTCCTGTCTGCAGTCTGTAGCACGATGATTGAGTGCAATACTTAGTGGACATTGTAAGGCCCATGGTACTGTGGGGGTTAGGGTTGGGGTAGTGGTGGAATGTAATGGGTAATTTAATAATTAATATAAATAATTCTTGTTTCTAGCAACAACGAATCGTGCATGCATGTCTACTACGTATTGGCAGGGCCGGATTAAGAACACATTGGGCGATGGAGCTACTGTATAGCAAATCCAAGGGCCCCCCTTTAAATTTTTTTAGCTCACAAAAGTATATATATGTATATATGTTGTTATTATTGTTATTATTATAATAAATTTACTAATTAATATTATTATCTAATTTCCACCATTCATTCATTCATTTTCTTGTCGGCTTAGTCTGCGGTCGCCACAGCGGAATGAACCGCCAACTTATCCAGCAAGTTTTTACGCAGCGGATGCCCTTTCAGCCGCAACCCATCTCTGGGAAACATCCACACACACATTCACACACACACTCATACACTATGCAAAATTTAGCCTACCCAATTGACCTGTACCGCATCTCTTTGGACTGTGGGGGAAACCGGAGCACCTGGAGGAAACCCACACGAAGGCAGGGAGAACATGCAAACTCCACACAGAAACGCCAACTGATCCGAGGTTCGAACCAGCGACATTCTTGCTGTGAGGCGACAGCACTACCTACTGCACCACTGCCTCCCCTAATTTCCACCATTTGATCTATATTTGATTATTATAGTTTTTTCAGTTTTATTAAAATAGGCCTGCAGGTATACAAAAAGTTATGACATAATATGAACTTTAAAGTTCAAACACACCGCACAAATCAGCAAAAAAACAAAAAAAAAAACCACACTTGCAATACTTGATAAATTAGTGCTTTATATTAAATACTTTGAATAGTGGTTTACCTTTAAAACGTTGATTTAGAACAGGGGTTTTCAAAGTCTAAGACAGTGGGCCTCCCTTTTGACACAACTTATCCATTGGCGCCCCCCTCCTCCCAAACACGCACGCATACACGCATGCGCACACACACACACACACACACACACACACACACATATATATATATATATATATATATATATATATATATGTATATATATATATATATATATATATATATATATGTATATATATACATACAGTATATATATGTGTATATATATATATGTATATATATACATACAGTATATATATATATATATATATATATATACATACAGTATATACATACAATATATATAAAGACACAGACAAATGTCAAACTGTTAACTCACTTTTATCATCATTTGCATTAAAGTGCAATTATTTACAGAGTAATAACAAATATTTTAATATAACGTTTTTAAAACTAGGATGATGGTTCAATATGAATAGAACAGATCCAAGAACTGTCCATCCC